GGTGGCAATACGTCGGGCCATCGCAGGCCGGTGTCAAGGAGGCAATCAAAGCCACGCCGTTCAAGCACACTCGCCAATCCCGCCAGACGTTCTGGATGCGCCTCTTGACGACGGCGAGCTCCAATACAAACACGCGCAACGTGTCGTACATGAGCTCTGTTACGTACAAGTGGTGCACCCGTGTTGATGGGCGGCTGGCTGCATATTCATACGGTCACGATGTCTCTCACTAATACCGCCCAACAGCGCGCGTAGGGGTGCTTTTTCTTTGAGTGCCAACTTAGAGCTGTGAAGCAGCCAAGTAGGTAGGTACTTGTGCGTTCCACCTTGAACAAAACCACCCAACTACACCCACTCCGTTCGACAACGGCGCCGGTACTAGCGACTCAGTGGTCTCAGCCGAATCAACTGCAACTGCGCCTGTGCGCGTATTTGGGCGCGGCTGAGTCATTGCCCTGATGCCAACGCCAATGCGAAAGAAGAAAACGACAACTCTTACGGAACTAGAGCACCGCAGCTCCTGCGCGTGAAGCAGGAAACCACCGACTGGACAGGAACCCCGGTTCTACCTGCTGGCACCACGCAATCTGACGACTTTTCAGAGAAGGATTTCCGAATTCCTATACGAGTTCATAAATGAATACCCAACGACTGTCAAACGCTCTATCAACTGAGCTATGCTCGGACTTGAGAAGGGTCGACGTGGTAGCTGCAGCCCACTCAGCTTCGAGGTCATGAACCCCCAACCGATGTCGGTCGACGGCCGTCTCATCCACGTATTTTCTTTCCGATCGGCGCGTCGCTCAAAATTCATACTCTCGCAAGGTCGTCCTTCCACTGCTCTCGTGGCTGCGCTTGGCCGACATATCAGCGGGCACCGCTTGGTTTCGTGCAGAGGAACACACCCCTGGTCACGTGCGACAGATCCAATGAGCGCGGTCATGATGGGCACATCAGGCCCCACGGGTGCAGTTATTCTGTCACCTGCAGGGTTGTGCAGTGGATAGCAGCCATGTTTGGGTTCGTGCTACCCGTATCGGCATCGATCACTCGGTTCCCGCCGGCTAAAGCGGCTCTGTCGACGCATTCTGCGTGGTCTGCAACACGATCGCGCGGCATGTCCAAGGCATATCTTCGAGCAACATCATTTCCAGCACATCTCGGGTCTCGCTCCCCTTTGGGTGCTTCAACTACAAGTGTGCATCGACAAACGTACCCTCATTGAGCTCAATGTCCTGTGTCGGCTCCATGCAACCGAGCTCGCATTACACATTAACATGCTCGTAACACGAAAACCAAACCGCTGTCAACGAGACGACGACCCATCCAAGATCCGTCAAGTTTCTTGTGCGAGCGGCCTCGCTCGGAACCTCGAGTTTGGTGTCTGTCGTCTCTATGCCCGCCGAGAAAATTGGCGCGCGCGGTTATGCATACGTGCGTCACGCCCGTGGCCGATCCGCACCACGATTCGGAGCGCGTACCGTACTCGCTGCGCCGTGTTTGGTTTCGCGCCACCGCTGCGCATGGCCTATACCAAGACCAACACAGTTTGTATTGGGTGCTCGCTCATTCCCAGTTCGGGCAGGCTCCGATTCCCGGCCCCAGCTGACCTCGACGTATTGGACGCGACTTTTCGGTGGCGCACTCCGATCACGTCCCTACACACGTCTTAACCATCAATACCGCTCAATCGACTCGATTGACGGGGAAGAGGA